AAAAAAAAAAAAATGATAAAAACAATACTCGACTTTGACAAAATACACGAAGTAATGCATGCCTGCAAATGCCGAATCGATAAAATATAATTGAATCAGGTTGATGATCGCTCGACCAATGTAATAAAACTCGCCATAATTTGAAAACATGTACTAAATGATAACTCGAAAGCGGTTGAAACTTTTCCATCAAAAATGGCAGAGTAAATTAGCGTTCCTCACCGATTTTAATTTTTTCACGTCCGAATCAAGTGCCACGTCAAAGCAAATATTTCAGCGGAGAGGACAGAAATAATAAAACTTTTAGCAAACAAAACGATTTTGAACTCGATTATATCTTCCCTAGTTTCAAGACTGCCATTTCGCATGGGAGAGATTTCAATCTATCAAAATTCCCAAATGCTATTCTCAACTTTTTCTTCATCCTTTCTGCTTGAATCCTTTTGATCTCCTTGTGTTTTCCTGGCTTTCCTGTCTTCAGTTGTTTACTCCCTGAAAATAGAATAGATAAAAATTGCATAAGGAACAAACCCAAGTGTGGAAACAAACGAGTAAACGAGGAGTAAAATATTCATAGTGAATTGTTGTACACCAACGCGCGTTGACTAGTACAAGACAAAGGTTGACAAGGAAACGCAACTTTTTATAAAGAAAGCTGAACTCTCAATAAAAAAAAAAACACTAAGAACCTTGCATCTCGTTAGGTTTCTGAACTAGCTTCTAACGTACGTTTTGCGGTTTCTTAAGCCATACGGTTGTTCTGAACTGAGTTCAACACGAAATGTAAACCGAGCCGGCAAGCGCACGTGGTAGAATGACTTGGAGCCGGTATTTTTGGTTGAAATATTACCTTAAAAGGTAGAATGCAAAAAATTTGATACTAACGATTGGTAGAAATATGGGTGTCAACTGACTTCTCTTCCCCAAACGTCGACGCCATTACTTCTTCAAAATAAGAATTACTTCTCGTGTAGAAGGGAACAGTAAGCACCATACTCCGACGGCAAACATCTCAAAATGACAAACAAGCACCTCAGATTAGCAATAGTCATCATTAATATGGAAAAAAACATCAGACCAATCAGCTAACAGACCGTCACAAATTTATAATGACAACACCCTTTGCACGCTTTCTTCTGCTACAACTTTGCATTTCCTTTGTTTATATGGCGCCCACGTGAACCTGTATGGCTGAACAAATGGAAACAAACAAAAGCGTCATTTTTCAAACATAATTAAACTTTTCTTACAGGTCTTGGATGCCCATCTCTTCGGCTCATTTTGAAAATGAATTTGGTAGCGTTCATTTTAAACTTTCAAAGAAACAAACAGAAACAAACACTGATTAATCATTACAATTTTTTCTGTCCCATAATCCATTTATCCTCATGCCACACGAAAACCACCGTAAGGCCCAGTGGTTCAGGAAATGTTGTCAAAAAGCAGGGTTAATTGTCTAAATCATATTAACAAGGGAGAGTCTCAAAGAAAAATCCTTGCGTTTAATTTAGCTGGTTGTGTTTCTTCTTTGGCGGGAAATGCAACAAGTGACCACGTGACATTGTCAGTCCTTGCGTAACTAGTGCCAGTCCTAGACGTGGAAAGTCGCGCTTGCGGTGAAATCGCACGCAGTTTAGACAAAAAGGAAAACTTTCGCTTTCCTCGTCACCGTACCTTTTACATGGAAGGGCCTCACCGGGAACCCAAGAGGGAAGCGGGGGTTTGCGAATAGCGGAACGCGCGGAGAACGTGCGATCAAAGCTTTCATAGCTAATGAGGAATTGCTCTGAGTCAGCATAAAAATATTGAAAATAATCAGGTTTTTGATGAGCCTTACATCTTTATAAAACTTATTTATTACGTCCATTGTTGGCTCTTATCTTTACCAAGATTGGTGTTTATTTTGTTCCCGTTCAGTTTGTACAAGGTGATCCACTCTTTTTTAAAGTCTTCGTATATTACAATTTCCAGCTTAATTAAGTAAAGGTTATCCTCTTCTATCCCATTCTGTCCTACCCGAGCACGAGAGAATACAAAGGTAATACAAGTTAAAATTGTAACAGACGAGTTGCTTGGGGAACAGGGAAAGCATGGAGAACGTCCAGTAACCCAAGGGTGCATGCACGGGGTGGCGAATAGCGGAGCACACAGCGGAGAAAACGCATAGGGAATACTTGAGAAACACACGGGGGCTTATACAAGGTACCATTAAAAGAGAGCAGGGTGTAGTGGATAAGCGAGCCCACAAAAAGAAAAAAAAAACACCTGCTGTGAATGTACGAGGAAAGACGAAACGCAGCCACCGGCAACAATAAGGGAAAACACAGAGTTTTTTTTTTTTTACTGCTTTTAAGTAAGGAAATGCATGTGAGAGCGCACTTGTAAGTGCATGAGGGGACGCACAGGAAATACATGGTGTACACAACGAGCGAACGCACAGAGGATAAACGAATAAACGGGGAACGAACACGAAGGAGGGCCCCATCCCACGAGGGAAAAGCACGGAGTTGCGTACAACTTAAGGGGGCTCAGTCAAGGTATTTTGAGTTATTTTGGCCACATACAAAATTACCTTTAAATGGTAAGAAACCTGAAAACAACAGTTTAATAAGATAGAAAAACACTAAAGAGATACTGATAAACCATAAAGGAACAAGAATGGCTAAGGATGGGGAAGATAAACACGGATTACAAACGACGAATTTGAAAAATTGAAGCTAAACTTTTCAATATGCGCAAACCGGGGCGGGGGTGGTGGCTGATACCTTTGGGTTGCAGAATCAATGGGACATGCATTTGTAGAAAATGTTGCAATTTGACAATTCAAGCCTATTTGAAAACCGTTTCACTAGAAATACTGGCAATGGCACAAAGTAGAAATTACAATGAGGAACCTGTTCAGAGGTTTGCCTTTATTTCTGCCATAATAGCCACAACCTTTGTCACGTTTCACTTCTCCAAGAGGGATTGGCTAGCCACCCAATCCACCCCTGACCCAGGTTCTTTCAATAACACCCTCACAATGATGATGTACACTGTAAAATTAGGCATGGGAGAGACAAGCACTTACATTCACTAAGCTCCACTGACTGCAGTATCTGTCTGTGATTTGACAAACAAGCTTTTTTTTCAGCTTCCTTACTTTCTTTTTAAATCAGTCTACCAACTCATCACTACTCATCACTAATGCTGCTTTGTATCCATACAAGTAATACTCACAAATTTTGATATTTTTAATGCTCGGAACGAAGATCTTTCCAACCACAAATACTCCATCACATCATATGTCAAGTCATCCTTGATGTCATGTACACTGTACAGATGTTTGGGTAATTTTTGCTACCCTTATTTATAACCTGACCAAAAATTCAATGCCCTATTTATGGCCATTGCAGCTGGCACAGTTGCACTACACACAATTTATGAAGGCATTTGTTAATGGTCTTATTGATAGTGATGAAAAAGTAGCTTCTTCTAAGAAGCATACCCAGTTCAAGACTAGAGTGCTAAAACCATACACTATTTATGACTAAAATGGCCAATATCGATAACCTATTTATGACCAAAATGGCTGAAAAACCCTACCTTTTGGGGCCACACATACCTATATAGCTCATATATGGGAGTACCCCCCCCCCCCCACGGGGTGGGCTTATCACACTCAGTAGCACATTTCAAAATACAACAGACCAACATTGACACTTCAGGTTTCATGCCAAAAGGTTTCAAACAATCTTCTTTGGAAATTAGTCACGAATTAGACTTGAGATTGCAATTGCATTTTTTTAAACATATAGAATTTTTAGGATCGTGAATAAACGTGTTGTTTGCTAACATGACACTTCACTTGCATACTCTATTGTTAACACCTAATCAACCTCACCAATCAGAGTTCAAATAAATTTATATAACGAGATATTTATGTTATGAAATGCAGTGCTCTATGATCATGCCTAATTCTTCATAAAGGTGTACATCAAATCACCTGTTTGCCACAAAATGTTTCTTTTCAATTTAACAAATAATGATGAAAGCACCTTAAGTAATAGAAACTTCTTTTAGTAGCAAATGTAAAAAAATAAGCACAAAAAGAATCTCATAGACTTACCATTACAGCTGTCCTTTGAGTATGATTGCAGGGGATCACTACAGCTGGGAACTGCAGAAAACATAAAAACAGTTGAGAAAATAAATTCCTGAACAGTACATTACTGTTCCACATTTATCACATTTTAATATTTGACACCTGAATCAGGATAACAACAATGGTCAATGTAAAATGTAGACTGAGGACTGCAGACTGCAGACTGGGGGTAAAATGAAGACTGACAGAGGGTAAGATACAGACTGCGAACCAGGGGTATGGTGCAGACTGAAGGTAAAATGCAGACTGCAGACTGGAGGTTACATGCAGACTGAGGGTAAAATGTAGACTGCAGACCAGGGATAAAATGAAGACTGAGGGTAAAATGTGGACTGTGGACTGGATTTAAAATGCATGCCATACCACTGGAGTTGTCCTTTGAGTATCATGGCAGGGGATCACTGAGTAATCACTACAGCTTGGAACTGCAGAAAACATAAAAAAACAGTCAAGAATATAAATTCTTGAACAGTAAATTACTGTTCTACATTTATTATGTTTTAATATGTAACACCTGAATCAGGATAACAACAAGTCAGAGTGTAAAACACAGACTGCGAACTGCAGACTGAGGACCAGGGGTAAAATGCAAACTGAGGGTTCAATGTAGACTGAAGGTAAAATGTAGACTGCATACAGGGGGCAAAATGCAGACAGGGTAAAATGCAAACTGTAGAATGGGGGTAAATAGCAGACTGAGGGTAAAATGTAGACTGACAGTAAATTGTAGACTGAAGGTAAAATGTAGACTGTGTACAGGAGGCAAAATGCAGACTGTGGGTAAAATGCAGATTGCAGAATGGGGGTAAATAGCAGATTGAGGCTGACCAGGAGTAAAATGCAGATAGCAGACTGGAGGTAAATAGCAGACTGAGGGTAAAATGCAGACTGAGGGTAAAATGCAGACTGCAGACTCTTGAACTTTTTAACTGTTACCATTTCCATCATTGAAAGCTAAATGTAAACAGGCTAAATAGATTCAGCAAACTGCGTTTCCATTCGGACTAACCTAAGTGATGGGCAGGCTAGCTGGAGTGATATTCAGGCAAACCGGAGGGCAGACTTCCACTGCAATTAGCCTGAATAACCGTGCTAACAGTTAGCAATCGATAATGGAAATAATACAATTTATTTTATGGTTAGTTCTGTGAGTGGGCAAGATGAACCGAAT